TGTTCGGTGTCCAGCGCTCCCAGCACGCGGCCCCTTCCGGGGTGGGAGGCAGCAGGCGGGGACCGCCCGTGCTACAGTATCCGAACCGGGAGCAGCTAGCAAGGGCCACATTTGACCCTTTCCCCGGACATGGGGAGGTTGAGGCCCCAAAGGAAAAGAGACCTACCCAATGTTATTTAGCTAAGAACAGGTATTGGCTTGTGGGTCAATCTATCTCCTTAATTATTCCAGTCATACCGCAGCCATCCCTGCAATGATGTGGGGATGGAAGATAGAAACAATATGGTTTTATCACGTTGATCAGAGGTGGGAGTGAGAATTTTTCTAGCTTTTCATTGTTTTAAAAAATGGTAATCTTTAACTGCTTAGTAGTTTGTCAGTTTATTCATTTGAATACGAAGTAAACTTTATTTTTTGATGGTATATGTTTTGTGGGCCTTTAAAAGTTTCATTTGTTTTGAAGGACATAAATTAAGTTCTGAAAAGATACACTAAAACCCTAGGAGTACATAGCATTTTGAGCCTGCATTTCTGTTTTAAGTGGTTGAAACTGAAAAAATTCAGATTCAGAATATTATTTACCAAATAGAGAGAAGAAGAAGGCCAGTCTTCTCTGGTCCAACTGTATAAATTATGCATAATATTTAAGAGCAAGATCTGGTTTCCATTTCGGTTATTGATTTGAAATAGAGCATTTTGGCATAAGAAATGTAGACAGAAGCCATTTCCTGCACCTAATTTATTCCCTCAGAAGCAAGCAGCAGCTTGCTGGAGACGGTTTTATGTAAGATTTGTCACAGATCCTGTGTGCTTTGGAAATGTTTTACATTTCATTCAGTTCAATTCAGTTTTCTGTATGATAAAATGTGGGTGAATATATTCTTCCTAACAATATCTTGGAGACTTTATGCTGTATTTAATTTGTGAAATTTGCTTTGACTTCCTTGAAAGGGACTGCTAGGCAAATAAAATATTTGACCTAAATCTGGCAGGTGAATGTCTTTCTTAAATAGTTATTGACACTCTTCATGATTTCTCTCGTCTCTGAGGGGTGCTCTGAAGGAGTGGGTGAAAATATAGCTGCATTCGACTTTCGTGGTTTATTAATCTTTGTATTTGTAACTTTTGGGAATAGATTGAGAAAGGATAAAACCTCAAAGATTAAGATCGCGCAAGGGGATGCTAGAAAATAAATCTCAGGCACTAATAAGTAAGTGAATAAATCCTTTGTGACATGTTTTAGGAGCACTGATTATATAGAGAACTCTTATAGACAACAGGTCGAGGACAATAAACGGCAAAGACAATAAATGGCACTGGGTGGGGGAAGTGGCCCCCAAATTCTGTTAGGTACCCTTGGCCACAGGTGAGAGGCTTGCTCAAAGTAGAGTCTAGATTGTCTTGGGAATGGAATCAATGTCAACCATGTCTTTAGTTTTTATCCTCGAAGGTAAAATTCATGGCTTGACCTTACGAAATTTAGTCTACTCTCAGAGTAAGTAAAGAGAAGGCAAACATTTCGAGCCAACACAAATCATCACTGAAAGACTGTGGACCGCAGGTGTTCACGGTTCTCTTCGCGGATGGGTGCGCATGCGCGGGGCGGGGCGGGGCGGGCGGGAGGAAGGTGGCTGCTGTGATGTCGGGGGTGGCCAAGCAGAATCAGCTTTGGCCGAGCAGAGCTCGGCTCCTGAGTATAATGTGAATTTAGAGGAATCCCTTCATCCTAGAGTATTTGAGCAGTTCCGTGCACCCCACCGCCCCCGCCCCCACCCCCACCAGTGAGCCTTCAAGCTAAAACGCACCTCCTGGAAACTGCAGTGTTGATACCTCTGGAAAGTATAGGATTATAAATCATTATACGCCAGAGACTTGATGGGGTTGGTTAGATAGAAAATTGGGGGTCAGACGTATTCCACACTGGAGAACTGTGTGGGAGATGGGCCTGGCAGCAGTCCCTGGGGACATGGAGACAGGGTGGGCTGCAGCCCGAGAACATCTGACGCCCAGAAAGTAAAGAGACTAGAAGAGAGAAAAGAACGCCAATGGGAAATGTCGATGAATGCCTAGACCCCCAAACCGCTCTCTGCAGAGATCGTTTTGCTAGATTTTTAATTAAAAAGAGACTAACGAACACCTTTTAAAGCTCTAAGGAAAAGAGCGCATTCGTGGGCACAGAGCAGAGCACTGGGGTGTGCAGTGCTGCGAGAATTCACGTTCCTACGTCTGTTCAGTTACAGCTGCGGGGTCTCTTATTCTCTTATCCTGGGGTCCCACGAGCAAGACCAGATGCTGCTCAACATCTCCTAGAACTAATAACACGATGAGAAAGATCTTGGAAAGGTTGTGTTATTAAAAACAAACGTACTTACGCCCGACTCGGAAGTCTTCCACGCACCTCCCGGTTTCGGACCGCAGCGGTGCGTGCGCGCTGCATCCACCTGCCTGTGCGCCAGGCGAACGCACAAAAGGCCTGCCTGCTTCCTCCCTCGAATCACCACGCCCAGACGCTTCGTTTCTTATCACAGTTTATTGTTGTGCATATGAGGTACCATGCTGCTATCAGAATTATATCCAGGTTTTTTTTTGTTTGTTTTAGAAAGCTCAGAGAAAAAAAAAAGTTTCCAGTAATTTTCATTCAATGTGAATGATAAACATTGAAAGAGCCATTTCACCTCTTCCTGAGGAAGCTTTGTATTTTAAGCAATGAAAAAGAGATTCTGTACAAAGCCAGTTTTAAATCACATGGTCTCACGTTCTTTCCTCGTGTGAATTCTCGTTACTTTCGGAATAGCATAACAACGAGCAGTTGGAGTACACGATATGGCAAGTATGCCTGTCCTCTAGAATTTAAAGTTGTCTCCGAGATACACGGAGTGGTCACAGTCCCCTCGAAAGTCTGCTGCTCTAGGTGGCATGATCCTTCTACTGGGAATGAGTAAATTCTGGTATGACCTCTTCCTCTTTCTGCTTTCGATAGACACACATCCAGTATGTTTTTAACATTATCTCAAAGGGCGAGCTGTTCCATTGGCTCTGTTTACTTAGACAAGATCATGCCATGAGCAGTTTGCTCTAGAAGTTTAGATGCACATCTCGTCATTGAAACACGCACGTATCAGTTTTTCTGTTTTTTCTTTTGTCAGTAGAAATGTCAAAATGAAAACAAGATATCGCTGGGGCCTATTCTCGCTACATTTGACCCTCTTAAACCGGTTTTAAGTCAGCCATATTTATTTTCCTAGCACGTCGGGCAGTGCTGCGTCAGGAAAGGCAGCCGTAAGCGTCTCTGTCCAGGAGACTTCGATTTTGCTTTTACAGTCAGGGTGTCTTAAAAATTGGTTCTTCCTCCTGTTCTTTCTGCTACTGGCTTGTTTAAGAATGTGTGTATCATTTGGATTCATACAACTTTAAAAACATTTAATTAATAATTATAACGTAAAGATTTTATAGTAAGTGGAAAGATCTCAAAATCTGTTTTCTAATATGTGAATAATTGACACAATTTCACATATAATGGCAATGAAAATATTTGAACTTTGGATTTTCCTTGCATACCCTTTTTTTTCCTAATCATACTTTTGATAGCATTTTATAAAAGCTTATATAACCATAGCACGGAATTTATTTACTAGTTGAATTTTTTCTGTGTAGAGTACATTTAAAACTTAAGTAAATAGAAACACGGGAAAATAGGTATGACACTTTTTTGAATACTTTGTTAATCATATAATCATTTAAAATTCTAGTGTAAATATATTTTAAGAACCATGCCTGGCTCATCTTTGTACTTCCATTTAATTTAGTAGATAATCCATAAATTTAACCATGTTCTACTGTCTTCTATGAGAGTGACGTATGAAATAGTCTAAAAAAATGGGACTTGGCCCTTCTTGTTTTTTTCCGCCTCATATTAAAATTATTGTTGCAAATATCAGATGAACAATCATATATTAATGTTTTTGTTATAAATCTCCGCATTATACGATTTCATTTTGAACTATCTAAAACAATGCAGTCTCTCTCTCATTTAAATGTAAATAACATGTCACCTAGAGAAACTGTCCTTAGTTTTCATTTAATAGGCTTTGTTCTGGGAAACAGTAAAAAAAAAGCCGTTCGCATTTACAAGCTGGTCCATTTCTGGGCGCGTCACATACCTCGGATCCCGTGTGGGCGTTTCTGCAGAGCAGTGAGGACTGCAAATGGGTACAGAGGTCGTCAGTGGGGTGTCGTCAGGTCCCTGCAGTGTCTCCCCTGAGAGAATTTAATCGGTCCACTTAGCATTATCATTTACTGTTTTTGGAATACTCCTTATGTTTCTATTTCCCAGCCAACGGCTTTACAGCAGTATAAAAATCACGTGATGATAGAGGAGTTAGTAATTTTTACATAAATGCACGAGACTGTGTGTTTGAAAAAAAATCACATTTTTTTTTGCTATAGCAGTTATCTTTTTTTTTTTTGATGCAGATAAAGCTCATACATAATTTTTCCACTCTGATCTAGCACAAACTGTAATTTACAATTCTCTCTAAATACTTCAGTGGGTTTTATTTTGGCAAGCATTTTTCATAGGTGTTTTATGCTACGTCGTGATGTTTATTTTGCTTCGTTTTGTGGTCTAAAAATCTACAGAGACAATCTTAGTTCATACACAAAAGTGTCGATCTAACTGCGGGACGGAACAGCTCTGCGTGTGCATTCGGTGTCTCTGCCGGTTGCTCTTGACCCCCATGGGCTGCACCGTAGCCCACGGCGATCCCACAGGCCCGTGCCCGGGTCCAGGGAAAGGCCATCAGCCCCCAGGCTTGTAACAGAGACCTGTTTTATTTGTTCCTAATCATCCACATGCCAGCACATGGAAGGAAGTTTGTTCCTTTTTCTCGTTTGAAGAGGTATATTTTCAGACGGCATTTTGGTGGCTTTGGGAAAGGTGAGTGTTGCGTGGCAGGTGGAGCTCCAGCAGGCGTGCCCAGCGCTATCTCGCCTTCTGCAGCTCCTGTCTCAGCCAGGCCGGCAGGGGCTGCCCCAGCCGGTGCAGCAGCTTGGCCAGCTCCACGTTGTGGTCCCGGTAGTAGCTGGAGAGGAAGGCTCTGCTCTGAGGGGGGAGGGGAGAGAAAGGGACTTTTATCTTGTTGATGACAGTACATTTCATATCCTCTGACCGTGGTTAAATCTGCATCAAGTGCACCATACCTGGATTAAGATTTATATTGTACATGTGGACTATCGAGGATAATGTAAACACGGTGACTGTTCTTCAGGATACTCTACACGCATACACTGTTCACTAGGAAAAGAGCTTTCATACTGAATGTGATTTATTCGACTATGCAGAATTAAATATTAAAAATAACTAGATTGAGTTGCTGGAAATACAGCTTAACGACTGTTAGTATTTAATAGTAAGCGCTATTAAAATCGTCCCAGCTTTGGAGAAATAGTTTGGCAAAGCTATCTTATAAGATATCCCTTTGTCATCATTAATTTACATTTATATTTTGAAGGTAATACTTTAGAGATCCTTTAAGGCATATACGAAATGCCGACTGCTGAAACGGTATTGTGGTGAGCCTTAAAAAGCAAGTCGGCAAACCAGGTAACTCTGTGACCTGGGACATTTGTACTGTTCGACCCAGTGAATAAACAGAATGCCTTGCAAGCCATCCTGACTTATAGGGAGGTAGATTTCCCATCAATAAAGAAAAACATTGTAATAATCGAAGGGGGCAGAAATGAAAGGGCTGTGCGTGACGTGGCATGTGGTGGCGGGGGTGTCGATCTAGTTTCAGTGATGGGCCAGAAAGGTCGTAAGCAGGGGGCGCGGTTTCTGCATCTGCATCTGCATCTGCACCCTCCCCTTTATACTATTCTGAGATGTTCTGTTGAGTTCAACCTGTTCAAAGTTTTTATCTAATTCCTCGTGCTGTTCTTTTAAATGTCATATGTGGGACTGCATTTTAAATGCCATAGAAAAAGCCTCATCCTGTATCGATAACTTCATGTAACACAGGGATTTCTGCAGGAATGGAAATCACTGGAACCAGGCTGAGCATCTGTGCTCTGTGCGAAGCGTCGCCGTGACCGGGGAGAACCCAGACCCTTCTGTGGTTTACGCGTCCGTCTGTCTCGTCAGTCTGTTTTCGGTCTGCCTCAGCCCACAGACTCAGCGGGCGTGGTCAGGCCAGAGAAAGCTGGGGACAGCTGGCCGCCTCCCAGACATGGGACTGGGAGCCCGGTCATTCTGTGCCTCCTCTGCTCCGGCCAGACCTGGCATGCAGGGAGCAGCCGGGTCTTCGGATGGCATCCAGGTCACGGTCCCCTGCCCCAGTCTCTCTGAACTTTGCGTCGTTCATCTTTATGCCCGGAGCCCTGCTCGGAACAGCTCCTGTCAGCTACAGAATAGTGTTTCTCACGTGGTGACTGACTGACTGACTGTCCCACACTGTGACTCACTTCAGCGTTGAGCGCCCGGGCACCCGTCTCCACCGTCCATCCCTTTGGAGTCTGGAGTGACCCTCCTGTTGCCGACATCAGTTTCAAACCTGGCAAGGGTTTTAGCGGCAGAGTAACAGTCCGGCGCTTAGTAAATCAATAACTAATATTACGCAGGCCACACTACTGCAGAGTGACTTAGCGAAAAACAACTAGAAACCTTTTAGCCCTGTTTTCAACTTCCAGTCGATGTAGTTCCCGCCTCGGTTTCAGTTAACACTGTCTGGGTGCCAGCACTTCTGTGAGCATATCATTCTTTCTGGAATGAGATACTATTTTATCTGTTCTGATTCAGAATGAGAAATCCTATTGTTCTCCTTTGTTACTTCTCTGACAGGTGACACTCCACTAGAAAGATTAACACAAGCAAACTGGATGCACTGAAATCCAAATGTCGCGTTTAATTTTTAGAAAGGCTAAATTTTTATTTTAAGCACTTTTCTAAGGAAGTAGATATATTATTATTTAGCATTTTGCTTCTTTAGTTTTGCATTTTAAGCCCTCTACTTACATCAGGACCCATTGGGGGGTATTTTCTTCCTTTGCTCTTTCCAAGGCATTTCGTTTTACCTTCTTCCAGCAACTGACACCAGAAACCTTTATGGGAATCAAACCTAAAAAAAAAAAATACAGAAAACAAAAAAGCATATTTTTTCCCCAAGCAATTTATAGGATATAGTGACCCCAAACATGACTATTTTTACTTGGATATTAATCTGTAACCAGAGAAACTGGCATAGTTTTTGACGACATCACTTTGCATAAAGTTCTGGCATTCTCCTGAGCTCTCAGTCCATCTGTCGTAGCTGTGTGTTTGCCAGGTCCCTAACAGAAAAATTGTCAGCAGACGGTCTCCTATTAATAGACACTAATAAGCCCACATCCTTCATCTGGAAGGAAAAAGTTTTATAAATTTCCAGCCCATTCTTTCCCTTTGCAGGGTTCAAAGTGACAAGTTGGGCTTCATCGATATCTGTGGATTTACAGGTCACTGGTGTCACACAATTACAGGGTCACAGAAGAGGAAGGGTTTTGTTGCTCCACAGAGTAATTAACTCGAGGATTCTCTAGCTATAATCCATTTAATTTTGTTCCAAAGCTACTCTCTTATTTTGCCATGAGCTCTGCATGGAAGTCACAGCGCCTATAAATGTGGATTCGCTTGGCATAATTTGTAGTCAAAATAATAGCAGCACATTGTTTTTTAGTTTACCAAAAATACTTCACGTAACCCTCGTCTGAGCTTTCATTATCAGTCCTTAATGATCGGGAGTGCGGGTTTCTTCCTTTTTATGGCACTTAGCATAGCGTGTGGCTCTTTGTGAGTGTTCACCACATGGTAGTCGAATGAAAAATGAAAGGGAAAGAAACGTTTGTTGCATTTTTAACAGTTTTTTCGAGGTATAATCTGCATATCATAACACTCACTCATTCTAAGTGGACAATGCAAGAATTTGTAGCAAATTCATAGAGTTGTACAGCTGTCACCACAGTCCAGTCGTAGATCATTCCTACCGCCCCCCACGTCCCTTAGAGCCCGCTGCAGTCAGTGCCTGCTGTCACCCCTAGTTCCAGGCAAGCACTGACCGGCGTGCTTCTCCAAGTCTTTCTTTTCTTGACATTTCCTTTTTTGTTTGTTTGTTTGTTTTTTTCCTCCTGGTGTGGATATGCCAAATTTTGTTATTCCATTTACCAGCTGACGGACATCATTTGGGTCGGTTCCAGTTTGGGGCTGTTATGAAGAACGTTGCTGTGAACAAGTCTTCGTGGACGTGGGGTTTTGCCTCTCTCTGGGTAGAATCCTAGGGGTGGAATCGGCATGTTTGTAAATGTCCGTTTAATTTTTAAGAGGCTGCGAATCTGCTGTCGCAAAGCGGCCGTCTATTGTACATCACCATCAGCAGCAGACGAGGGCTCCAGTCCCTCCAGATTCTGGAGGACGTTCCGTATTGTCTTTTGGATTAAGTCATTCTGTGGCATTTCAGTGTCGTTTCAATTCACGTATCACTATGTTACACGTTGATTATGCCAAGTGACAGTGTGTCTGGAGATGGATTCGTTTTACAATAAAGTTGCAGACAACTTTAAAAAGCTCATTTTAAGGTTTCGGTTTTTTAAAAGAAGTACTTATTGCTGACACGCCATTCAGTTACTAAAAATTCACAGTGTTGTTGTTCTACGGTTCTAACACCGCGTACCGATCTGAAGAGCTTAACGGAGGCTCCAGAAGACTGTTAGGTTTCAGTCCTGCCTCTTCAGCTTCCCTGCCGAGTGACTTCGGGCTGAGCTTTTCGGCGCCCCCAGTTTGTTTGGTTTTTTAGTTAATAGTACTTAGCACAGAGTGTTGTTACGAAGCAGTATATGTAAAATACTTAGCGCACAAAAGTGTGGTCTGATCTTGAAACGTTACAATCACTTCAAAAACAAACCCATCATAAGAGATTGGAGTAGACTATGCCCTTCTCCTTCCCTATTCGGCACCTCAAGGTGCTCCTTCACAGGTCAGCTAGGGAACCAACAGGTTTTAGCTACTATGGCTCCTGTTTCTGCTACTAAGAAGAGTGTTCATGTGGCGCCTTTTTACTCAAATGCATCTAAAATGGCAGGGGGAAGGACTCCTGGGCAGTATGAATTTGACTGCCAGGGGAGGGGATGGTAGGTACAGGAGAAGTCCTGAATTTTGAAACAGCTTCAGTTCTTTATGACTGAACAAAGCAAAGACAAACACGCGATCTTTATTCAACCCCTGGCATTCAAATCCTGTCGTCCGGTTGTTGACGGTTTCATAGTAAATGAGAATTAAAACTCCACATAATTCAGTCAGTTTCGTTCATGCTGACAAACAGGATAATTGACTGAGAAATAAAGATGTCGGGTTCAGGTATTTCACTAGTATTCGTAAATGTGAACACTCCTGTCGTGGTCATTGACGGCTGGGTACAGTTGCGAATGGATATATTCATGGAAAAATTAAAAGTTCATATTTTTCCTTTTAGTTGATACGAGTTAGCACAATTCCATGATAAGCATTATTTCCTCTGCTTTCTCTCAAATGATCAGTCAGCCTTAAAATACTGTATAGCACCTAACTTGAAAGCTAAAATGATGTCGGCATACCAAGCCTATTTTCAATTTAGGGATTAAGGTTAAATTGAGCAAGAATTGTAAAACGTTAACATACTTAATTGAATGAGAAAGTTCCCATTTACACTGTTTAAAATTACACTGCTTATTTCAGATCACACCCACACTTACTAAGAAAATCAGGTTTTTTTTTTTAACATACTCAATATGTCATTTAAAGTCCACGATGACAGTATTAAGTCATTTTAAAGCATGGTAGATTATCCTTTACTGTATGAAATTTGAGAGTCTTGACTACTTTCTTTAGTGATTGTGGAAAGGAATAAATAACACTCTCGACGAGGGAAACTTAGTGCCATTTTTCTACTTTCTACTTTGAAACTGGAATTTTATAGATCTCTTACTCAAATGCATCTAAAATGGCAGTTTATAGATCTCTTAAACCGGAGTACTCTTGGGTGCCAAGGTTGTGCAGTGACACCTTTGTAGAGACCTCGTTTCATTCCTTCATTCTACTGTGTGCGAAGAACTGGACTCACACAGCTAGCGGAGAATTCATGCCTGTTTGCAGTTCAGTGCCTTCTGAGAGGGCTTTAAATGGACTTTAAGTAGCGAAGAGACAGGCTTCACTATCGCTGGCAGGAAAAACACAAAGCCATAAACGCCACCCCTGCGAGCACGCGTTTTGTACCCGGTCATCCCCAGCATGGCCAGAGCACCAGTGAGTCAGTGCAGGGCCCTGAACTAGCGTAGCCATCTTACGAGAGGCGGATTCAGAACAAGGCAAAGGGCACGGACGCAGGACGACTGAGACCAGCTGGGACTCACGACGACAGGGAATTCCAAATATCCCACAGCGGGTAACTGCGGGAGTGCACGAGGCGTGTCGGCCCGACTGATGAGTGACAGGGAGATGTGACGAGCAGCTGGATGGCAGTGCATTATCTCTGCCGGGGGGCGAGAGCGGGGGCGCCCGGCATGCAGAGACCGGCGGACCTCATCTCACTGCCCCACCCGCCGAGCCGCCAGCCGGGCCGGATGCACCCCCGGCGCAGAGCGAACCCCGGTTCCTTGTGTTCCGTCTCTTCAGTTGACACTCCCTTTTCTCAGCAGTGGAGGTGGATGAAAAGCTCGCTGCTGAGCTGGATGCGGAGGGGACCGACACGCAGCATGCAGGTCAAGGAGCATTCCGTGAGAAAAAGAGATCCTGGCTTTATAGAACACTCCACCACCTTTTTCTGAAATACAAGGCTTTGCTACGCACTCTATAAAAAAGACCCAAAGATAAGCCGACTTGAAATAGAAAACTGTTTAGAAAAGAGCAGCTTTCTCTTCTAAGCGATCCTGAGAAAGATATAAAGAGAAAGTGGACTTGAGTTTCTAACTGCAAACTAAAATCACGCAGCTTCCTTTCGGGTCACGCTGGAAGTGACATGTGAAGCCTCGCATCTGCAGTGGCCCCCGAGCCAAGCTCTGCGAAGCCCTGACAACACCTGCCGCACAGAAAGCGCGGAGCCGGGAGGGCTGACGGTACCAGCGAAGGACGTGACTCTCAGGAAGGAAGGAGCTTGGAACCCGAGCTGCACCGGCTCTAAACCACGACGTCTCCCTCACGTGTCTCTCCGCATGTGATTTACGCAAGATGGAGGCAGTACTGGGTGTTTTTCTGCCAGTGTTTTACCGTAAGGAATGATGACAGATCAAGGAAGCCTGCCTCTCAGCTTCGGAATGGCCTTAGGATGGAGAGCACGAAGAAAAGACAAAACCAGCTGATGTGTGGAACTGAGCTTTACACTGAGAAATGCAGTGGAAGAATTCAGCGATTCAGCCTTTTCCAGTTTCTTTAAGGCTCAGTCTTCAGTTAAAAACTCTGTGTATCATAGGGACAGTCAGGTCAGTGGCCCATCCAACTCGGCATCTTCCAGTCACTCTAGGCATGTGCCATAGGAACAAGCCTGACCCTCATCGGTCTGAGCGCCACCTTGTGCAAGGACAAATAAGATGGAGGTCTTATTCAGCCTGCCGAACGAGGTCCAGAGTCAGGGTTCCGGGGAGCTGGGAGGGGCCCCTGGGGCGCATAATTCAGGAGGCGCTCCCTGCCGGCGCTCGCAAGGCCTGGCAGGTGTGTCTCATCACGTCCTGGTGCCTCTCCTGGTCACCCTTCTCCCTGCCCAGCCCGAGTCATTTACCTGAGGTCAGAGGGAACCAGCAGAAGGAAACCAGCCAGAGCTGTGACTGCCGAGGCCTCCGAAGGAGAGGCGGTGACAGGTCGGACCCACGGTGAGTGAAGACCAAGAGGCGAAAGTAGGAGTCTGCAGGGGTGGTGACAGCACACGTCCCTGGGCCCGCTCAGCCACCCGCCGGGCTGTCCTCGCCACGTGACATAGTCTGAAAATGTCACGAAGGGGAGCAGAGCGAATTCATCAGCCGCCTCGCGAATCGCCTCTTTGTGCTTCCGAGAGGCCCCGGCGTTGCCTGTGACCTGGGCTCGGCAGCACCAGCTCCTCGGAAGCCTCGTCTGAGGTGAGTTGTTGGTTTTGAGGTTTACAGCGGATTCGTTGCTCTCCTTTCCTCCCAGGAGAATTCGTCATAGTTAGAAATCAGTAGAGGATTTAGGACATTTCTTCGCCACAGCATTGAAACGTTCTTTCCCAGGGGCTTGAGACCTCAGTGGAAAGAGTCAGTATGCGAACAGCAGCTGACTCAACAGCTGCACCCCCAAACTGCTGAAAACGTCAACAAATTAATTAGAATATAAACTTACGTTAAAGCTTCTGAGTAATTATAATGACGAGAGACTCCTAGAAACTTCTGTACGTCGTCCATCACTGTAGCAGGGTCTGTTCTTAGCTGTTGCCCATCAATAATCAGCAACTAAATGACCAGAGAAATAAAAAAAAAAAAAAAGACACCGCACATCAGGAAAAGCTGTGGGACTGTGTGATGGAACACCTCCGGACCGCGGACGCGCACGGCGACACAGCACCCAGGGGCCCGGCTGGCCCCATCAACCCTGAGCAGAAGCACGTCGCGGGCGCGAAACGCACTCCCGTCCCGCAGGCATCGTGAAAACGGAGCCACTCGAGGGGACAGACAGAGCGTAAGAAACATGGCTCTAAGGTCACCAATGGAAACCAAGTTTAGAGACACAAAACGTCGACTCCGCCATGCGGGCTGGGAGGGAGCGCTGTGGAAACGGAGCCGGCCGTCCTGCGACCCGGTGTGCGAGGCAGAGGCCCTGCCACCACCAAGGCCCGGGCCGGAGGAGGGGCTCCGTCAGGCTTTAAGAGCTATTTGGTAATCCTTTTGGGGAAAAGGGAGGACTCCCAGAGGCCCGAGTGTGGACAGAAGTTCCTTGTGCACTAAGTGGAAGGCTTGGCTTGCCGTGGTGGCGAGGGCGGTGGGGTGGACCCAGCAAGATCAGTGGCAGGACACCGGTGGGGCCACCAAGCCTGCGGCGCAACGCTCGCTCACGCCTCCTCTCCAGTGTCTGGGTTAGTTCAGACCAGCACTGTTCTAGAACTTTCTGTGAAGATGGTCATATTCTACAGAGGCAGTGTCCCACAGGTGGCTACTGAACGTTTGAAATGTGGCTAATGTGGTTGAGGAATTGAAATTTTAATTTTATATGATTTTAATACAAATTTAAATAGCCACACGTGGCAGCAGCTACCTGCGGGACAGCAGGGTTCTGGACACAGAGCACACGCCCCGTCTGGCGTGACCGGGGTGCATTAGGCAATCCGCGCAGGCCCGACTTTGCAATCTTGGTGAGACACAAGGAAGCCAAGGAAAACAGGGCTTAAGAAAAATCCAGCGAGGTGGCTCAAAGGGGAATAACGGCAGTGACTTAGGCAACACGACATTTGCCTTGTTTGGTTAAGAGGTTCTCAAGCTTTATTCTCAGGATAAGAATCAGGGGTTTGAAGCTTTTAACGCTTTTTACAGCCAGGAAGAGGATGCGCTAGAAAACGGCGCGGGGAGAATTATCCTGGAATATTTCCGACAGACAACCAAGCGGCTTCCCCGCCGGCGCGGCGCTGGGATTCTCTGCCGCTGTGTCATTGTTTACAGTAAAGCGCCCAAGCTAAAGGTGTTCCCTGCACCCGGGCAAAGCCGGCAATGCGGTGACACGTGACGCGATGCTCAGTACCTGCAGCGGCGGGAAGTAAAGGAGCCACCTCTCGATGTGGCTGGCGTACCACCCGGGGACCAGGCACCTCTTCTGCAGGGCCCGCAGCTCGGGGGGCGCGCGCGGCCCGGCCGAGATCACCTCGTAGAAGCTGAACCTCAGCGCCGCGGGGTCTTCGTGGGATCGCTGATGCTGCACGGGGAACTATGTCTTAAGGATTAGAAACGACATACTATTTCGATGATTCTGACATGCTTCTCACACTACACTTTAACATCTCTGACACTAAAATGCAATTTATAATGCAGGATGCCTTTCACCTATAATTGTCCGCGTTTTCAACAGTTTCTTATAGGTGCATAAAACAGTGGGCATCATACCGTCACCCACGCTGCCTTACATTAAGTGAAATAATGGTCAATACAACAGACTCTTGCAGCCACGCGCGCTGCAGTGCGGGTCTGCGCCGCCCAGCGCCGCCGTCAGGACAGCCACGTCGGCTACTTGACGTGCAGAAACTACTGAGCACTGCCCTGGACGTCACCCGAAACCCACAACTGTGACCGCGCACACCTAGCATCCGAAAGCCAGCGCTTGTCACCCGACGGCGACCTCGGCGACACATCGGGATCGCGCACTGCACAGAAACTGCGGAGAGCACACTCCACCCGGGAGAGCGTTTCGCGATGGCTCGGGCCGGGCCCACGCGTCTGAGGGAACCGCGTTTGCCCCGAGTCGCCGACGACTACGCGGGCCCGGTGGTTTCGCGGGTGTTCACCTGTCTCCTGAACGGCAACTTCGGTGCAACTGACCTTCAGACTGCCGCACCGCACACCCCACTAGACTGTGCAAAGCCCCACGTCTCGCCCCTGGGGAGTGATTTATTCGTAATATTTAGGACGTTTTGTTAGCTTACAGCCTTAAAACCTCCTTTTTTAGTAAAGTCTCCATTTTTCAGGGGCTAAGTGCTTGCCAAGCTCTAATTTTCTTTCTGTTTGAGTCAATTAAGGCTCATTTCTCTTTTCTCCAGACACCCGGTGGAAAAGGTAAAAGGCGCAAAACTGGATCAGGCAATTTGCAATTTACTGCATGTTTTGATTTGAAAGATGGCTCCCGGAGTTTGCGGTGAATGATCAGTGTGCAGTTGTGGATTTCAGCTTTCCGGGGCGTCTCACTCCGTATTAGGCAGATTATTGCCAAAGCGCCTACCTGAGGTCCCGTCTGCTCCACGCGCCCTTCCCCCACCCTGTCCCAGCCTCGCGACCTTTGCTGATGCTGTGTTTTCCCTGCTGTGGACCTGGAAAAAACGCTTTTGTTACATGACAAGAGGACCCGGCGCTGGGAAGCTCTATTCTCTGATACTGTGGATTATCAAGACTGTACCTGTTTGAAATCCGGTCTGCGAGAAGAACACCCCTCTCCTGCCTGAACTCAGAGCTAGTTGGTCACTTTCCAACAGAGACTGTCTCACCTCCACTCAGGTGCAGGGTTTCAGGTGAGGGGTTTCGGATCAACACTCCACCCTCCACACCTGCCTCAGCTTCACAGTTTCCAAGGGAACAGCACCGCTAACCTGACTTCAGCCCGGACCGGCTGACCACCGCCTCACCAGCAGCCTGCTCTGGCCTATCCCAACACTCACTTTAATTTCTCCTGCGTTTCTCCCCGTGCACATCGTGCCCTTCTTTAGGGGTGCCTTAGCAGTCCCCCTCACCGGCACCCGGCCCCTCCACTGCAGCCGAGCAGTGCACCTAACTGGGGGCCCCGGCCGTCCGTGCCCAGGGGCACCTCACTCTGCAGGAGTCCGTCCACGCTGGGCACCCCCTGATCGGCACACGGGTGTCGGTACGCACCCCAATCGCACAGAAGCGGACTCGCGCATAGTACCCACATTTATTAACTGAGCTTCAGGTCCCACTTAGAACACGCTTTGCACATGGTAGTTATTAAAATCAAAGGATGGACGAATGTGTGACCATCAGGACAAAGCTGAGGATAACTAAGGTTCCCAGACGCCAAGGACACTGACTATTAAGTTTGTGTTCTTGTATTTAGTTTTGTCTGCTTCTCATTGAACCTCTTCCAGTGGGTGATTAAAATATCACCGGAACAAGGTTTTTTTTTCCCCCTATCATTTTTAATGATTTATTAAAATAAAAATATGTGATGTACAAATATTATTATTAGAGTCTTTTAAATTATTTCAAAGTGACTGTTTCTGTGCTAAGTTCTAACCAGTGTCAGAAACATAATGGCCATGAGTGTATGAGAAAGAGGCTCAGGGCAGCCTTGGACTGGCGGGGCCTTCGGGGGTGGAGAGTCTTCATAACTGCGTGTACTGAAGAAATAATAGACGTTCAGCACAAGCAGTTTTTTTTAAGTTCTTTTAGAGTCACGGTCATCAATCTACTGGCCCATGGGCTAAATCTGGTTTGAGACTTGCTTTTGTAAATAAAATTTTGTTGAAACAGGCTAAGCACATCATTTGCATGTCGTCTATGGCTGCTTTTGAAATACCGTGGCAGACTGCAGCATGGTCTGCAAAGCCTGACGTAGCGACTCTGGCCTGTGCCTTCTGCTTTGGGGAATCAATTATATTCCTCGTCTGTAAAATGAAGATAACAGTAGTGGCATCACACATGTCTTAGATGAAAAATAACGATTTTAAATTATAAGATTTTACTTTTAAAAGGCAGATATATTGAAGCACAGATATACATATGAATACATATTTTTTTATATTTTAATTTACTTTTTCATTGCATTAATGTGTTTTATTAATTAAATGAATACCAAATTAATAAAATCTTAAGGAGAAAGTTAGTTTCTCCATGGCAACGAAGAAAAATTTATCCACTTCTCTGCAGATAGAAAACGAGCAGATCTCCTTTTCCGTTAAAACCCGAGGTGTGGCTACAGCGTCCACACTCCCCTCCCACCGGCTGGGTTCCGTCTGTGTTCCCTTACCTGGTACCAGGAGTACGCTCGGTCCGATGGGTCGATGAGGATGGTGATGATCTTGGCTTTAGGGACCAGAGACGCTGCTCTCTTTGGTGCTTCCTCCGAGTGGAAGTAACTGGCGCTCTTCTCAAACAGAAGGTCAGTGGTGGCGTTAGATGGGACGGGGAAGAAATCCATATACCTGGAGGAGGAACAGTTCTCAGAGTAAGACAGGTTTGTACTCGCCCCCTGGTGATGAGCAGTGTTAAAAGCGTCCCAGGCATTCATCGGTTTCCTCAAGGCATTTGTCCCACAAAGATTTTAGCAAGAGAAAAATACACAGAACACTTAGTGTATTTTGAGAAGGGTTTTCTAAATACATTTTCTTTCTGTTTTGCTTAATACCGGAAAAAAAGGCACAGGAGAGAAACGTGTAGACGCAGAGCGATGAAGCTGCAGCTGTAAAACGCGAGGGTTTCTCGCACCTCCTACTAACGGCGTCACCCCCACCCCCGTGACTCTGGGCTACCAGGGCAGGGTGGCTCAGTGACCACCAGACGCAGGGTCGCTAGCGTTTGAGCGACGACTAGTTTCCGCAGAGCGTGTCCTCGCGTAGCCACGTGACGCGTAAAGCTTCGGTGGGTTCCGCTTCCCACACTGCAGAGCTGGGCTGCAGCGGCAAAGCGACGTGTTGATGCTCCGGGCAGTAAAGACATCCATGTGTGTCCTCTGGGAGTCGTCTCGTGGGTGCTGTCGTACCGGCAGCCTCATCGGGGGAAGGAGACGCGCACAAGTGTCTGGCAAGTTGATGTGCCGTCTGCTCTGCTGTACGTGCCCTCTAAGGAGGCGCCACACGTCAGGGTCCTGCCCACTGGGGGGGGGGGGTCACGCTGGCTGCAGGGGCGCTGAGGTTACCCGGCCGTAGAGTCTAGTGGTGTCCTGTCCGGCCCAAGCTCGTCTCGAGCTTGCTTATTCTGGGGAAGCTGCACAGATCAGCGAAGGAAGGCAGAAGGTGCTGCGCTCAGATAACTCTAGTTTCTAAAGCCTGTCCCGGCTCCCTGGCAGCCATCTGCGTGGGACGGCGTAGGCCTCGCGCACCTCCCAAGCCCTTCCGGATCTTGGGCGGCTGCTGCGCTGGTTCCGCCAGGCCCGGGGCTCGTGGCGAGAGCAGGGCCAGCTGTTCGCCTCTACCCACGGGTCCGTGTAGAGGCTGGTACCTGCCAACGGGCGCTTGCAAATGTTTGATGGATAAACCATTCGGGGGTCAAAGCGAGTGCCCGCCTCATTTAACATTTGCTACTTTCGTAACACCTCGGAAATTGTCTTAACTGAAAAACGTGATTTTGGCAACGCTCCACATATTTTACTTGGGTTGACCTGAGTATTTCCAGGTGATCTTAGCCAAAGCCAGATGAGGACGTTTAGAGGTTCTAAATGCTGAACAGGTGATGGTTCTCCACGCCCACCCCGCCCTCCACCGCACCCCCATGTAGTTGTAAAAATAAATTACCAAACCATGAGACGTAAACTTAACTGTGCCCGAGTTAGCAGACGGAATGCCCTGGGGGATTCTGTAAGAGACACCTGATCTTCAGCCTCGCGGCTCTGTGGCCCCAGAGGGACCGCGGAGGTGCTGATGCTTCGTGAGAGGCCGAGCCCGTGAGGGTCCTGCCTGAACTTGATGTCCTTCAGAGCAAAGCGACCGTCATTGCTAATGGATTGACATTTGCGGTTGCTATTATTTGTTATTTGTGTTAATTGCCTTTTAAAAACATATAATTTGTCAATCAAAAGTGTTCGCAATTGGGGTGTTTTCAGTGAGTTATAATTAAAAATTTTAATTGCGCTTTAGCTCTGCTTGTTTATGTCATCCCTTCGTAAACTGCTCACGGGGCTTCCTGTCCTGTTGTCGAGCGTACACACATTACTGGCTCAGGAGCGGCTTTTTAATTTTTGACTGATTATCCTCATAGCTATGCTTGAGCTCCAGGGAGACCAAGTGTTGCACGGCCTCCCCACTCCAAAAGCACTTTGGGATCACTTGTTCCAGCCCCGGCGTTGACGTCCTGCATCCTAACTGCGCGCAGGCAGACGTGTGAGTCAGGGGGCAGACAGCAGCCGAAGTGGTCAGTGGCTCTCGGTTCTTACAGCTGCCGCTGATCAGTGCACAGTGAAACGACATCAAGGGCCGCACCGATGTGGCTCTCAGACTGCACTCAGCCCGTTCCTTCCTCTTCCCATCGGGACTCACTGCCCACAAGTGACTCTTGCGGGGGTCGGTGCTCATAAAATCGAGATCATGCAGCCTGATGATAGCAGAGATTCCTACATGACAACACTTTATGCTCAGATACACGCACGATGTCTACGTTCATGCTCTAGACTTATTATAAGAATTCCACTGTTTATACCACTTTCTGCCCAGAATTTATACCTTAACAGCAAGACTCCTAGATTCATTTTATGACTAACATGTCTGTAACATCTATTTCTACTACGTGACTATATTTTGTGTACATCTGATATTTTAATGTTTAATTCAACTATTTTCCTCTGATAATTGGCATATTTTTAATTTTAAGGCCAAAAATTTAATTCAAAGGCCAAAAATTAAATTTTGTATACGATTGATATCTTCTTTGAGTTTTCATTACTTTAATTCAAAGGCCAAAAATTAAATTTTGTATACGATTGATATCTTTTCCGTAGTTTTCATTACTTGTGAAATACATACACATTTCTAGTTCTCTTTATTTACCTTTTATGCCAAAGCAAAATAGAAAATTATACACGTGTAAGGCAGCATCGCCTGAATGCAAAGTGCATAAGAAAGCTATGAAAGCGTTTTCTTAAGAGCAGAGAGGAAGTTAGTTCCTGGGTGTTCTGGTATTTCTCAGACGTCATATCTCTAATTGCCATCGAATACAATTAGCGAACGTTGAAATTACATGTGGGCCTCTTGAAACAGCAAGACCCTTCACAAACTGAGAAAACTTTGTTAGGAATATTTTCAGTGCTCCCCCAGGTATTCAGTTTCCAAGGCACATTTATGTGTGGCTACAAACTTAGAAGTTTATAAATGTCAGCACTAATTTTATACCGTGCACAGTACATATACTTTTAGATTTATACTAATAACCCGTCTTACCAATCAATCCCCCTGTGGTAGTTATTTCTATTAAAGAACTGTACCTCCTCAAAGGTTTTGGGGCTGGGGGAATTACTAAGGATGGAAGGGTGCATAACCAGGAACAGATACAAAGCGGTGGTTCCTGAAAAGACAGCAGAAGTTTAGAGATTAATTCAATGAAAACACAGTTCCGTACTATTAGCACTTTAAGTCATTCATAAATCAAGCACTACAGTGGTCCAAACAGATACACATAAATATTTGAATTAAATCGAAGAGATACCCAGCATTTGGAAAGAAGCGCCTTCTAAAAAACGGGGCAGAGTGACGGGAGGAGGGGCTTGTGGCAGAGACCGAGACAGCTGGCTTTTGACTCCAGCGCAGTCACTGCTCTGGGCTGTGACTTTGCTTCTAGCTTTTTCTTGTCTTGGCTTTATTAGTGGAAAATCAGCTGCCCTGCTTATTTCATAGGCTTTCTCTGAGGGTGAAAGATAGATTGTACCTGAAGATATTTTGATATTCATAAAGCACCATATAAATGAAGGATATCATTATTTAACATAAAATATTACATTACCAAATTCAATACTTAGCTTCTCCTATAAAGTTCTTCTTGAGGCCTGTGAAAGCTTATTAAATTTGAGGCAGAATTTAATCTTTCAACAAAGTTGTTCAAATTCGAATGTACTTATAGAAAGTAGTGTCAAAAGTTTGCAAAAAAAGATCGGTGCCCTTTCGTTCAAACTGCTAAATTTGAAAAAAAAAAAAAAATCTTAGTGACGTAACAAAATTTGCAGTGTTTTGGAAAGAGAATGACGTACCGCACATATTCATGTAGATTCGTCAGTAGTGGGGAGTGAGTCAAAGGTGCGATTTTGTAAAAAGCGAGCGGTGTCATAAACTGTACATTCAGTACTGTAGAGCGTAAATTGTGAGCCGAAGGGCACAGCTTAGGTGACTACGAGAGCAAGTGGGTCATTTGCCGGAGGTTTGGCCAGGTGCTCGCAGCTGCACCTGTGTCTGTAAGCTCGTAACATCAAAATATTTCTGGTCCCTGTATTCAGTCCTCCCGAGAGAGAGCCGTGCCCTTCCGCTGGCGCGTCTGCTCTGCTGTGCTTCACCTTATCGTACAATCTGACGGAGCGGGGCCTGTTCATTGAATTCCATGTCGGTAGCTAGCGATGGCATTCGGACACGGCCTTATAATATTTCTCTCGCTTGCAGAAACTACTGTTCTAATTTTGTTTAGTGATAATGTCACGTGGCCATCTGTATCAAATTTGGAATAGTCTTATCTCTCTGCTATGCTTTATTTAGTATTGTACTTAAATCTACCATATTAATACAACAGAAAAAGTGTTAAAACAGCTCTATCGACAGCAATATTGTCTAAAACCATGACTTGAAGGGGGGCAGTGTTCCTACATTATATCTCAGACAATGAACATTTATCTACCATCGTAGATGGCTATAGGGAATGACACATGACGTAAAAATGCTCTCAAGATTGGTTTAAAATGGTGGTTCTTGAACTTCAGCAAGCAGCGGATTCACGTGGAGGGCTTGTGAAAACACAACTGGCCCTGTCACAGAATTTCTGATTCAGCACACTTCGAAAACCACTGACTTAGCAGAAATGTGGAACAAAATCTAAAACTTATCAGGGAAAAAAACGTTTCATTAGTCGAAATCCATACTAGAGTAAATCTTTCTAGAGCACGGTCTTTGAGTCAGACAGATTCTGGAGTCAGGAATTTTATTTCTAACACCAACCAGCTATGTGAACTTGAACAAAAAAATATCTAAACTGAGTCTTAGTTTTCTTATCTCTTCAGTGGGGAAGAAAATACATAGTTACCAGGGTTTTTGGGGGGTCAAGTGAGATAACCTATGTGGAAATGCCTGAGGACCTCTGTATCTGAATAATAGTAAGATTTTTTAAAATAACAACTTTATTGAGATAAAATTCAGTAATGCCTGTTATAAAAATGAAAAGAATAAAATCTCGTGAGAATAGGAAGTGTGACTATTAAAATGTAAAGAAAAGAAAACATTAATTCTTAGATCAACCGAAAACATTCTTTTCTGAATTTTTAAGAACTGTATTAGTAATGTTTGATTTTAAAGTATAGTATAATTTGTCAATGGTCAAAAAATCGAGTTGTGGGTTCTGAATTCTGTCTTTATCTACACATATTCTTGGGTCTGAATAAACATTCCTGTGTGTGTGTATAATAACTACATAATCACATACGCGCATTCAAATATCCGTCCACAAAGCTTCAGTTTTTACATTTTTGTCAGTTTTAACACTAACGATATTTGAATATCCAGATGACTTTGCATCTGTGTAAAATTATTCAGAAAAATACTTTTGACAAAACTAAAGTTAAAACGAAGCTATTTCATTTTTATGGGACCAGTATGCAAACGTATGAAGATATTTTTGTTCATTTAAAAAATCAGTTTCACAAATCTGTAGACACAAGAACACGGATGAATCTCAGAAGCCTTGTGCTAAGAAGTCAAGCACAAAGACTGCAGACTTCACGCTTCCATTTATACGACATTTTAGAAAAGGCAAAAGCACGGTGGCACAAGCCGTCGCCTGCGGCGGGGGATGGGGAGCACCGTCTGCAGGTGGACAGGAAGGAGCCTTTGTAGGGACGTGAATGTTCTGCATCGTGAATGGCGTGGCGCTTTGCACAGCTGTATACAATTCCCAAAACACATCAAACTGTGTTTTAAATGGGCGAATTTTATTACATGTAATCTGTACCTCTATAAAACTGGGAAAAATTCAATTTCTATAAATTTCTATCTCTGTAGGAAAGAAAATAGTGCCTTCTAAAGGGAAACGTCATATACAGACTGTAACATAAACCTTTGGAAACTCGACTGAGTTTAAGATGACGAGCAGTAATTCTGCTTTCTAACCGTCTGCACATCCAGCGTGACTCAGGAGAACACACCTGCAGCCAGTGTCAGTGACGTCCGTGCTGCGAACTTGGTGCGCCATGCGTCAGAGGGACGTGATCAGTGATGACGAAGCTATGGGGTGGCAGTGGGAGTTTGCTTTTCTAGTTGCTTCTTGACTTTAAATAGATAAGGACGTGTGAAATAAGTAAGGACAAGAAAAATATTTGTCATGTTATTGTTTTCAGATTGATATGTGCCAAGGGACCCCCAAAAATGAACAGACTAAACTCTCTGTACATTTTATGGACTTCTCCCCGGTTGTTTCTGAAGTGAGGAGAGGGGAACGTATTCCCCTAGGAGGGAATAGGGTCGCAATAGCTGTTTTCTGTGAAGCCAGAATCCAAGGGCCCCGAATAATTTATCACGTGGGATACAGCATGAATGTCTGGCATTTTGAAGCTTTCTTTGACTTTAATGCTGATTCTCACAGAAGCAAATTCTATGGGGGAAAAAAAAATTGCACACCAATCTAAGGTGCAAACGATTTCTCCTGGCTATGAGTAAATACCTTTCTTAGCACACAGGTTTGTTTCTGTCTAGGACTTCTGCTTGTCAATATCCTTTAGACTTTTAGAAAATAGTCATCTCTGCAAAAAATAGTTTAGAAATAAACTCTAACAAGAAGATGGCAGGATGAGGCCATCTGTCAGGGACTTGTTATAAAGAGTTACAGGGACTTACACGTGTGCGTCTTGACTTTTGATGAAATCCTGTCGGTCTCTCTCCAAACACACGATTAGTTTTGATTTTAGAAATGTTAATAACAACACACTTCAATTAAGATCTTTGGGAAAAAATAACATTTGCCACCAAACTGACTGCTGGGTATTCAAACTGTGTGACATCTATTTTCACCCTTTTCTTTTTAAAAAACACTTTGACAAGCATTTAAGCAATTTATCAAGCCAAACAAAGATTATGTCAGAATACGATGTGTTATTCATTTATCAGTATTTAGAGGCAGTTTGAGAACTCATTATGATAAGAACTCATTGTTCAGGCATCAGGGTTGTTCCACTGTTTTATGTTACCCATAAAACGTTCTCACCAGTTTTCTGGGGTCCTATTACCAAGAATCTCGGTAAGCGATCACAGGTTTTCTCCTTAGGCCAAATGTCTCTGTGGCGTTTGTCATCACAAGGATTCTGAACGGGAGAAGAATACAGAGACACATGTTTTTGTTGAGCGCCTACTGTGTGCTAGGGTTTTTCGATTTCTGTTCTTAAAAAGATGTCCCAGGAAACAAGGCTGTGTGGCTCTTTCTCTTAAATGAAAGCCTTGAAGTGACATCATGGAAGCTTTCAAATAACTTCTTTCCATCCTGAAGTTGAGTGTCTACTGAGGAGGTTGGGGAGGGGAGACCCGCTGTGGACAGCCTCACAGCACTGGGGGTTAATCCTCCTTCCCACTGTTGCCAGGGCTGTGTGTGTGTGTGTGTGTGTGTGTGTGTGTGTGTGTGTGTGTGGTAGTGAGCTTGTGGGGCAGAGACTGTGCTTCCTGTAGGAGATACATTTTTAGCATTCAGTAAGTCACTGAAATATATAAGGTGTCACATTTTTATTCTAAGTAACTTGGAGCTTTCCTGCTGTGCTTCAAAGGAATATGGATCTGGCCATAACAATGCTACTTAAAGAGACAGCAGATTTCTTTCAGCCAACTTCAAAAGACGGTAAGTGTGTATCTAAAACTATAACTTTACAGACTATGGTGCTGAAAAGCACTAAATTTCAGCGAAAGAGTAAAGTGAGGGTGAATTACTACCCTAGGGACCTGCTTTAGGTCTGTAGTACTCAGACCAAGCACACTGTGCAAGATTTATCTTGAACACCCTAACTTTAACTGCAAGATGCGTATTATGCGAAGAATTAACAGTACCCTTTAACACTATTTCAGGAGTGGACAAACAGGACAACATTCGATTTCAGTTAATACTGTAGAGACGTGTAGTTAAATAACCTGTCCGCTTATTTACAGTAAGTACCAGATGTTAACACTAAAGTGAGGATATTCTTTTTGGCTGCTATTCTGGAAAAAAAATTGGTTTCAAACCTGTTACCTGAAATAATGATGCTTTCAGTTTAAAAATGAGCTGTTGAATTGCAGGAAAATTGCTTGTCTTTCCAGTGGCTAGCATTTGGTGATGTTTTGTAGTAGTCAAGATAAAAACAGTTGTTTGTTACAGCAACTGCAGAATAATATGCAGTGATCATTCCACAGCCACTGGCTTTAACCTACTGAAATGTGTAATTATGTCTCTTTTTGGAGTTATTTGTACTCAGGAGGTAATTAGCTCAAGGTCGAAGCCGAGTGGATTGAATACAGAGTTCAGAGCTTTCTGCAGCTCCATCCGTGAACTTCACTGAGTTCCATTCCAGATGATGATTATCTTGCCATCATCCGTCCGTCACTCCGAAGGAGCGTCAGAACAGCGGCTGAGGGTGGTGCCTCTGGAGCCAGGTGGGCTGGAACTGATTCCCACTCTGCCGCACACTAGCCGAGTGACCTTGCTTATGTGTCTCAGCCTTTCCGTGCCTCAGTTCCCTCATCTGCAAAGTGGGGATGATGCCCGAATGTACCATGTAGGGAGCTGTGCGGACTGAAGGGGCTGACATGTGGAAAGAGCCTGGCCTGACCTAGAAGAAATGCTATGTAATTATTTGCTAGGATCAAGACTTTCCCCAGATCATGGAGTGGGCAATTTAAGTCCAAAGTCTATTTCTGCAGCTCTAGGCCGTGTGAGAGAATATGCGTCGAAACCTGGGCTACGCCTAGAACCACCTGAACGCGCCGTGTGCACGTGGTGTCTTCTTCTGAGAAGCTCAGTGGTCCCGCCACCAACCCCTTTCCCTGTGCCCAGCGTCGTTCCCAGCTAGCAACTTCCGCAAGCTGCCCGGATTCTGCGGCAGCTGGCGCACCCCGTGGTTCAGAGGCAGGTGGCAGCCTGAGCTCTTCTCACCTGCCCCCCGGTGTCGTCTGGTCACTAGAGATGGGGCTGTGCCCAGTTGGCTACCTGCCTGCCACACACCCTGTTTATTACCACCTTCTCCCGCTCCGGCCCACTGCAGTCTGCAGACTGACCCCTCACTGCCGACTGGAAACACTGCATCCACTGAACCCCGCACGGAGCTTTCAGAATTCCATGGTCTCTGCTGGGCACAGGGACAGAGAACCTGACCCACCATGAAGCAATGATATAAGACTACGACGCAGGAAGGAACAGTTCCTCAAACCTATAACATTTCCAAAACGAATGGGTTTTTAATTTTTGCCCCCAGATGCCTTCACTTTTTAGATTCGGATTACTTTACAAAACTCCACGATATGTTCGTGGGAGTAATTAATTATAGCAATTATCGAACCCATCTTACCTGCCAGAGCGGGTCTTTTTGATCAGGAAAGAGCTCAAAATACTTGTGAGCCAGCTGTGCTGGGGGCAGGGTCTGAAGTCGCAAGTTGGTCCAGCTCTGCACGAAGTTGGCCAGGTTAACGAAAGTGTACAATCCCAGTCGGTCGTTCCCGTAGTTGGACAGGTGGGTCATGAAGATGCTGATCTGGAGGAAGGAAGCGAACTGCGGCGTAAACGCGTTATCTGAACCCTCAGGGCAGAGTCCCCCAGCAACACTGCTTTTTCTCACGCTGCCTTTGCACAGGGTTTCACTTCGTGACACACTTTTTGAGTGTTGGACGTACCCCCCAAGACTTTCGTCATGTTAACGCGTCCTGGAGGATGCGCTGTTAGCAGGATCTGGTGAGCACTCTCTTCGAGATTCTATATATTTCGTAACAAAAAATGAGTTCACCTGCCACGTGCGCGTGTTGGTGCAGTCAGATCGATGCCGACCAGCTCGTTCTAGATGTGCGCGTGTGACGGCCTCATGACAAGTGGAGGCACATGCTCCCGGGAGCCGGGACTGTGTCATTTCGATCTACTTAATTTGGCTCGTAATGCGGTGCTTCGGGTTAAGGGGTGTAAATAATCAATGAATCGTCATCATTAGCATTAACCGAATATGCTCTGACTTGTCTTTATTAGAGGCCATAATGACAGAAGCCTAGTGACTAAATGTTTACTAGTTAATAGTTGTGGTAACTATTAACTATTTTCCATCAAAAACACCTCTCAAACCCTTTCCTGTATTTATTATTGATATCAAACACTCCTTTAAGAAAAGTTTTCAGTGCTTGGCTAGTTAAAATCAATCCCTTCTATGGAAGCAGCTAACCTGCATTGTGTTCATGCATTAAGAAAATCACATTTTATTTATAATGACTTTGAATTCTGTAGATTTGATTAAATTAGTCTGGAAGGTAGAATGTGCATTTTTAAAGCTACAGATTTAAGTGAATTCAAATAGTTTTTGGTTAGGGCTGACAAATGGAAATAATTCTGCTCGAGATTTTCAATGGCAAAGAAAAGCATTGTGGCATTTATGCTGCTATAAAAAAAGATCATAAAAATAATTCATGTGGTAATAGTACTTTCTTAAAATATATACTGTCATGTGAATGAATAGTAATAACGGTTATTATAATCATCATCATAATGAATCTAATAGGTTCATTCATTAAGAGACCGAAAGAAATAGTGAAGAAAATTTATTGAGCTAAAGTGGCAGAGATGAGAGAAAGGTTATATGAAGATGAGATATAACGAATCCAAAAAATGTAATTACTTCCAACTACGAATAAGAAGAAACAGTGATAACCTATATGATAAAGAACAAATCCCGCAGACTTTCACTGAGAAGCTTCAACTGTGATCAAGAATATTTCATTATGTTTCTAGTCACTCCAGCTGAACGTATATTAAATCTTAGAACTTTCACAAACAAAGCACTTTAAGGCTGATTTCAATAGCTCCCAGCAGACATATGCAGTCATGAAATTGATAAGTAAGACTTCTACTATTTTAGATGTTTCTGAAAAACGAGACTTAAAATTTAACCTTCTGATATTCCTAAAAGGACTTTTATTAAAATATAGCTAATATGCAACATCGCATTAGTTTGAGGTGCACACCGGTGTTACCCGACACTTACACACCTAAGGAGAGATCGCCACGCCGAGGCCAGCAGCCACCCGCGTCCAGCAGCCACCCGCATCCAGCAGCCACCCGCGTCCAGCACCCACCTGCCCCACACAGCCCCTCACGCTGTTGGCTGCATTCCCTGCGCTGCCCACTGCACCCCAGGGCTTCCTCATCTTATACCTGGAAGTCTGAACCCCTTATTCCCCTTCACCTTCCCCCCAACATTTATCGTTTTTCCATTGCAGTTAGCATCCAGTATTATTTTATGTTAGTTCCAGGTGTACAGCGTAGTGGTTAGACGCCTGTATAATTCACCAGGTGGTCCTCCTGACCGGTCCAGTCCCCCCGCGTCCAGCAGCCACCCGCGTCCAGCAGCCACCCGCGTCCAGCAGCCACCCGTGTCCAGCACCCACCCGCGTCCAGCAGCCACCCGCCCCACACAGCGCCCTCACGCTGTTGGCTGCATTCCCTGCGCTGCCCACTGCACCCCAGGGCTTCCTCATCTTATACCTGGAAGTCTGAACCCCTTATTCCCCTTCACCTTCCCCCCAACATTTATCGTTTTTCCATTGCAGTTAGCATCCAGTATTATTTTATGTTAGTTCCAGGTGTACAGCGTAGTGGTTAGACGCCTGTATAATTCACCAGGTGGTCCTCCTGACCGGTCCAGTCCCCACCTGGCACTATGCAGAGTTAGTACCATTTTATTGACTGCTTTCCCTGTGCTTACTTGACATCCCTGTAACTGCCAATCTGTACCTCGTAATCCCTTCCCCTTATTCACCCAGTCTCTGCCCCCCCCAACTCCCCTCCCAATATTCTCTCTACATTTGGAATATTCTACGTCTTTTGCTGAACACGTAATATCTCCCAGTTTTCTTTGTTATATTTTAGTTTAGTTCTCACCAGTGAGATTGGTGAGAACAGCTATGTAATGAGAATGTTTCAGTCAAAGCATTAGCTTGATTTCCAGACCGTATTTCTTCCTTACCCCTGTCCTGACCTTTGACATCTATAATGTCACTTTGTTTTTGGTAATTCCTCCCCTCACAATTTCTGCATGGAACAGAAAGAAACAAAGAAGCTCGAAAAAGTGGCCAGTTCAGGGAAAGCAGACATCCCTCTTTCCCCGGATAGACTTTATAATTTAAGAGTGCTTCAGAACTGAGGGTTTCTTTGTTTATTTTTTTAAAAGGATAGAATGTATCAAAATAAACGATCTTTGTTATACATGCAGAATCCAATGAGGAGAATGTCAAAGGAAGTTCTAATTGCATTTCTATAACAGGTTTTGTTATAAATGCACTATATATAATTAGTTGCTACCAAGAAGACTCATAAGCTGCTTAAAACTCAAATTATTAGAGATTCTACCAAAGGCATAAAGTTTATCTAATTAACAATAACAGCTGAAACATATTATTTTGAGCCTGGTAGATAAAGATATTTCTAAGAAGGCACTTCTCCGTGATTTTTTTTTTTTTTTTCTGTAAAAGACAAAAGGTAAATACCAAATAGCACATTCCCTGGTACATATGAGAAAGGCAACAGATGTCATTTGTAAGTGTGGCTAAGAGACAGATATGGGAAGCTTCATCTACGCTTTCCAGCCTCCACCATGTGCGTCTAGTTGGCTCCAGGTATCAGAGGGGGGGGTCACTGCCAAGAAGAACGCGGAGAAAAACCAAAGTCTGGTGCAAAACAGGAAAAGGGTTTTCCTGTTTCTTTTGAGAAGGTCGGAGAGGGGCGAGGAACTAGAGCATAAGAAAAGTGTGTTACTCGCAATGTTTAGGACAAACCGTGCCACGTGTCACCGTGCTGCTCAGTTCCAATCCTCAAATGTTTCTTTCTCAGCGCGTTTGCCCGGTGTCGGGCGGAGGCGCTGGCGTCTGTATTCAAGCCCAGCACACCTTCCGGTGCTTTCCCCGCATCTGCTGTCGACTCCGCAGAGATCTCCTTCAGTCCCTTACTCCCCTGGCTTCCCCTTGTTTGAATCCTCTCTCCTGGTCCTTTCTTGGACCTGAACGTGTGCTCGAGCCTCTGGCATCTCGAGCTTTCATCGTTTCGAGCCGCTGTCCTTTGCAGCCAAGATCTTCACAGCAGCAGTGTCTGGGTGCTGTCTTTACTCCTTACTTCCGTTCGCCTTTCAGTCCTCTGAAATCTGGCTTTTGTCCGCTGACAATGCCTCGTCACAGGAAGCAGCGCGGCGGCATGTCACACAGCCCCGGGGACAGGCGGTGACCTTTATCAGTTTGCTCCCTGTGACCACACTTAAGATTTTCTCCTTCTCTCTCTGTTCTGAAACTGTTTCTCCTAGTTCTTCTTCACCCGTCTCCTTCCCCTGGTCCCTCCTTTCTCGTGGTCCCCATCAATACCTGGTGTTTTGTTCTCTGCGTGCTGTCCCCAGGTGGAATCACCATTGTGACTCCTAGGTCTCTAACTGCCGTCTGCATCTTTCTCCTAAATTCATACAAGAGCATCTAAGGGTCTAGATGACATTTCTACCTGAATGTCCCATAGCTGCCTCGCCGATGTCCCATAGCTGTCTCACTTTAACCGAGGCGAACCCGAAGGTGTCGTGTTCACAGTCAGGTGCAGGTAAGCTCTAGGAGAGCAGGGGCCTCGTGTGCTTCATCGTCAGACCCCTAGCACCCAACCGACCAGGTGACGGCGCAC